AGTTTCGAGATTACATCTCATATAACTGATTTACCGTTAGTCTCGAAACTGATTATAAAACGAAAAATAGGTATTGTAGTCGATTGTTATAAATATAATTTTGCTTCATCGGCACTCCCACCAGAGGATGTGATATAGGAAAATGCTTGGCCTTGAAATTAAGATCTGCCGTGACCCAAGGGCATTCGTAGAAATGTGGCGGAGTGCTTAATGTGCCAAGCTTACACGCTACAGTGTCATTGTTCCACCCTCGGTTGGGGTGTTGATAAGACCTAGGCGAGGTCGAAAGTGCAGTAGACTCTGGATAAGAACAAATTTTTGGAAAGCAAGGCTATGTGAAATTCAGTGGAAACATCAGCTATGCTCCTATAATAGTGGGAAAATTCTACAACCAGTCCTTCATCACTTTATACGAAATAGGGTGAATACATCTCATATAATTAGATTTATCCTACTTCATAGTAAAAGTATGATTTCAATAAGTTAATCAACTTGTGGTTAGCACTCATGATTAAAAGATGAGGTTTGAATCATAAGCTGTTGTAAAGGGAAAAAATCGCGTATAGCTTCCGGGGGTGAGAAAGCTGATTAACTAGAAGTAGGTATTAATATTGCAAGCAGGCATGAAAAGATTGCGATTAAATGAATCAAAAAATGTTAGAAGTAAACGATTCGCAACTTATAAAATCAATCTAGTTTAGGTTCTCTTAAATTAAAACCAAATTGATGCCCATTTGAATGATTTTGCTCACTTTGCAGTTAACTTTTGCATATATATCTCCATGCTGCTGGTCATCTATCCATCGTTGAAGACACGATTGGTGTATCCAACCTGTGGCGCCACGACAAGAACATGGCCGGCACCAACCTGTTTGGTTTATGGGGTCGGATTCTGATTCGGAGACGTAGCATAGCCAACAAATGCGTTCCTCGTATTCGTTGGAAGGTAATACTGGAGCAGAATTGGAAGTATTTAAAGCATCATCATCTGCAGCTTGGTAAAATAGGAACCAGTGCCTTCAAGTGGTCGGATATAAAAAAGTTTACAATGCTTAGATTTATAAACAATAATAATTGCCCAAATCAAGGTGTGAAAGATGGTGAAACTATTAATATGAAGTTGAAATAAATAATATAAGAATAATCGTTAATGTGAGAATATGGGCACGGCGATAAAAAAACAAATTACAGGCTGTAATCAAGAAAAATAATGCAGAATAGTAGTATAATGCAATTAGTTGCCAAAATAACAAATATAGATATACCAAATAATTTAAAAGGACTACTAAACGAAATATAAATAATCAAGGTAACAGATTAACGGACCGGAGGAGGGACGTCATCCGCAAAAGAAGTCTGTAGCGAAATTAAAGTGACCGCTGAAATAAAGATTGACATAAACCTACACGTGTTTAAAATATACTTTAATCTTAATAATTAAATAAAATGCAAGCCATGTTTAAAGAATAGATTTTTATAAATGATATCGCCATGAGCTGGCCGGCGCCCGCCCCAGCTCTCATTCCTTCGGCTGCTCCGTCTCTTTTGAGTGATCTATAGTTTTTAATATTATAATGCCTAATTCCTCGCCGAGCTCTCCAATAATTGACACAAATTCAACCTCATGTTCACCAGTTGAG